AGTAGATATCGGTGTTCTCTGGGAATCTTACAAGGCTGAGTCTTACAATAATGTTTACAAGAACTTACTGACTTCACAGATTAGTGTACAATTCATGGATAGTCATAGATTCCAATATGACATAGCATTGCAGTATAAACATCAGATAGATTTGTTCTTCTAGATCAAGGCCGGCTAAAGATGACCTAATAGGGAAACATACAGGGACAAGGGAGAAGATAGAATCCTAAAATCGACCAAAAGATGTTCTCCTTCAGATTTGGTGTTGGCATTTGATGTGTACACATGTTGTATGCTGGCACTGTATCTCCTCAGCCGGGCTCAATAAACCATGCTATGTTAGTCTTCATCAGTCTCCGAAACTTCTTCACACTTGAACCTTGCTCACAACATTTCTTCAGCACTTACCCTTGTGTAGATTTTCCATTTAATTACATTTGTTTTTTCACTTCCATGTCCTCATTTGTTACATATCAATACTGATATTTATGTGTTTTGGCCTATTGTATACTTCATCTTCAGCAGTGTTTTGAGAAATATTCAGATCCTTTAGTAAAGCAGCACAGCCACATTATAAAAGTCCTGTCATACAAATGAAAGTCCTGCATTCAAAATGTTATTTAATTAGCAAAAGTGAAAGTAAGCATTATGCACAATGGCCAGTGACAGAGCAATGTAATTATATTATTATTATTGATGTGTTAACATGTAAGCAATATTTAAAAATTGTATTTGGTCAAGGTGGAGTGAATTTAACTGCTTTATATGCTGCAGGATAGTTTAATCCAGTGGTTCTCAAACTTTTTTCACATATAGGACCGCTTAAATGACACAAATTAGACCACGGACCCCCATTTGATGAAGTGTTGTTCTCGCATCACCCATCAGATAGGATTTCAGCTTTTAGATATTTTATTACAAAAAGTGTGACCAAAATAGTCATATATTCTGCCACTGTGTTACTTATGGATGCAATTATAGTAAAAAATAAATAATTCCCCTTCCCTGAGAACCACTGGTTTAATCTATAACAATGCATTAAAATAAGACATTTTTGTATTTAAAATATCAATCAGAAAAGTAACTATGGCAGTAAAAGGAATTTAGTAAAGTAAGAAGTACAACACATAATATGATATGTAGTGGAGTAGAAGTATAAATTAGCACAAGTACTGAATTCCCACACAGTAAATTTATACTTAAGTTCAGAACTTTAGTAAATGTACATACTTTCCACCACTGTCCCATTTCTAGTAATTCTTTACTCTTTTGGCCAGCTGCTGAATATATATTACCCCTGATATCCTATGACCTACATTTCTAAATGCTGCCTTGTGTGTTTTGTTTAAGCAGCAGAAGTCACTGATGGCTTGCAGCAGACACGTCTGTTTTACTAAGAATTTCATTGCCTGATTTGATGTCTATTTTATCCACACCTTCCCTTTTCCCTTTCTTAAAAGGGAAGTGAGTCAGACAAAGCCATGTGGTCCATCTTGTAAGTTAGCATGCAACAGAAAAACAGTACAGTAACCCCTCATTACAATTGTGACCTCAGTTAGAGACAGGAAGTCTGTGTCTGACTGTTTGAAGGCTTCATCGCTGCTTAACATGTCTGTTTTCACACCAAACAGTCTGCTGCAAACAGCCGAATGCCCATTTGTTGCTGATGGCTAAGGTGCTATTGCTATGATGAATAGCCTACAATTGAGTTAAATGAGCCTTCACATGCCTCAACACTCACACATTGCCTCTGAAAGACCAAATCTCCTTCCTTTTTGTCATGAAGTGACCAGGGGGGTTATGCATGAGCTTGTGTTTGAGTGCACAAAAACTCCTCCTGAATAATTGTAGGAGACATAGGGAGTGAAAGTGCGTGCCTTGCGTGCTCCCAATTTGCAATAACAAGCTTACAAAAGGCTGTTTTTGTGTTTGACCAAGGGCCCCTGTGGTGACTGATGTTGTGTGCCAGTTCTGAAGGGAGGGAAAGGATGAAAAGAAGAGAGGGGGTTGTAATAGGAGGTAAATTCTCTGCAGGGGTGTTTTTGGAGGGGTTACTAGCAGTCATAGGCTAGCTAGCACCTGCTAGTTTGCTGGGACTTTTTTTGTTGTTGTTGCTGGGCAGTGCTCCGAGTGCAGACACCCTATAGGAGTAGACGGAGCAGAAGTGCTGATCTGGCAGGATGCTTGTGGTTTTCCTGTTTTCACAATCCATGACTGATCCTGGCAACAACGGACAGTTCAATTTAGGAGTTCCACTTGTCTGTTAATAGGGGAGAGGGAGGTTCTAAATGAACACTGGTTCCTGAAAGGAGTGATATCATAAACATCTAGTCATGGTGTTAGTCATTCTTTTACTTCACATGCAATGCCCTTTAACACAGATAGAAAGGGTAAACATACTTTTGTGACACAATGAGGTTGTATTGTGGAGAAAAGAAACACCTTGAATTAACAAATAATTGGTTTTCATGACATTCACTAAATGTACTGATATTTAAACTTCAAAACCAAATTTAAAAAAATATTATTTTATGGGCATTTGGCATTTGTTTCTGTACTTTAGAGAGTAAAACATGCAACAAAGGACTCCAGTCTGATTCCAACAATGGTTATGGTTGTGTGATAAAGATGTCTTAGACCGCTAAGGCCACCATGACACCCCAAACAAAGAAATCACTATTACGGCATACTGTGAACATGACTAGTATTACATTGATTCTCGAGTTGTCAATTTATTTTTATTTATAATTTTTTCTTAATTATACCCACCTCCAGGTGATTCTTAAGCAAGTGAATTAGCCATTAATTAAACTGAATCTCAGAGAACGTGTGTTTTGTTCTTGAAAGTCACAGAGTTTGTGTTTCTTTACGAGTTCAATGTAGTTTATCTTCGAACAAAGAAAACACAGCTGCATCTTCGTGCTACATGGATTCAGGTGAAGGGTTCATAGGAGAGGAGATGAACAAGGGACAAATGGTGTCCTCTACTGGCCTCTGCTTTGCACTTCAAAGGAAAGATCCTGCTGAGTTTAATAAGCATAACTATTTAAACTTTTTTTTATTGGAAGAGTGAGTGATCTCTTTTGAGGACATTTGTCACCATATTTTCCCCTTAGGCAGGTCCAGATGTGTAGCAAATCACAACTTCTTACTTACATCCTCTGCATCTATTGTAACTGAAACCAATATAGTGTAATGTGTTTTCAGTTTGTGGTGCAAATATGTTTCCTATGGTTGTAAGACATGTCAGAAAGATAGTCAGTTTTTTTGTCCTTTGTTTTTTACATTTTTGCTTTCATTTACAGCTGATAGTGTAGAGACAGACAGGAAACCCAGGGAGAAAGAGAGGGGTAAGACATGAAACAAACAGTATAGTTTAATGATATGCATCTTAACCACTAGGCCACCCATATATATACATGCTTGCTGACATATATGTGCAAGTGGACACACTATCTACAAACAATATTTGTGCATGTATGAATGTAGATGCACTGATAAATGCCTTCAAATATGATCTGAGCCAAAATAAAGGTAGAAAAGGTAGGGTGTTTCCATAAAGAGAATTCAATCAGGGGCACAGCATGTTCCCAAACACCCACTGGGATCAAGGGAAAGAAATCTGGGAACAGATCTTAACAAGTCTGGACTAGAATAACAGTAGGCCAAGAGTTGTGTGAGTGGCTATGAGGAGAGCAAATGGGAGAAATAAGAGGATTGGGGTGGAGTACATGCACAGAGAAAAGAAGCAAAGAATAACTTTTTTTCAAACTATTAGTTCAGTTAATTACCTCAGAGGGACGGTCAATTTAAGACACAATTCAGCAAAGAAGGAATGTGACTGTGGCAGGGAGGTGTTGAGAAAGTGTTCAGAGGGGCCTTTATATAATTAGCCCCTGAAGCCTTATGTAATAACTGCTAAATGTAAGCATGTAAACATGATGGGTGACTTTTCAGGGTTGAAGCACTAGGGAGCTTTAAATATATTAGAAGTTTTAAGTATATTAGATGTTGTGGGATGAAACTCTCAGTACATTTGGTGAGAGTCATTCTTCTAGAATATTTTAGATGTTTTCAACATTATATTCAAACTGCTATAGAGACTAAAAGTACAGTGGGGATCACAAATAGCTTTGTGAAGTTTCCACTTGCTAGCGTAACTGAGGCTCATCTTAAATAATAGATTACCTTATAATGTTTGATCAGAAAAGCAAACCAGTGGAAACAGAGAATTTTTTATAGGTTGTTTATTCACTCAGCACTGTTCAGCACACTGCAGCCACAGGCAGTGCACTAACAGTGAGCAGCATGGTGGGCATATCACACAAGGGACACTCTATGGTCAGACCGAAGAACAGACAGGCAGCATTACACTTTACTCACTGATTGTCATAACTGCATCAAGTAATTTTACATTCCATTTATGTGTGAAGCACAACAACAAGAAATGCAGACAATACAGAAGTGCACTTGGTGGTTCACTGTCACCTCTAGAAAAAATCAGTGCATTTATTGAAATGAAAGACACTTGTGTTTGGTGCATTTAGGGATGATACGGGCTGGAATCCCCAACCAAACTCAGCAGTTATATTTATGACCAAACAATGTAGGAAACTCAAGACAAAAACTCAGGGAGGTTGGGGGCAGCTAGAACAGTTCTATAAATGTAGAAAAGCTAAGCATATTACAAATAATTGTCTCCTGCTGTTATCAACTAGGGTGCTTATGTTCAGTGATCAAGGGAGTCAATAAGAGAAGGAAGAACCCAAACAGACATTTATCTGCTTATTGCTGTAAAAAAAAAACACACCCCATCTTCCCGTCTACATTTCATCAACCCCCTTACCCTGAACAATAGAGTACCCAAGTGATATCATCTGTAACTCAACTCGCCCCTTTGCCAGGGTATTAAGAAATCAGTGGTTTACACATCCCTCCTGCTATAAACAGTGGACCACTAACCATCTAAAACCCTTAAAAAAAAAAACCTGAGTCTTTCTTTATGCGGTGGCAGTCTCCTTAACCTTGTCCATGATGTTCTCAACCTGCTCACGGAACTGGGCGGCATAGGGGGAGAAAATCTCGGTCAGCTCGTCAATCTTGCCTTCCAGGGAGGTGCGCAGGTCCTGGGCGGTGGACTCCAACTGGGTCTTGAGGCCCTCGGCCTGAGTCTCCAGCTGCTGGCCCAAGCCCTCAGCCTGTGTCTTCAGGATGGAGGAGATGTCACTCAGCTTCTTGGTGGCGGAGTCGCTGGCCTGTTGGACATAGGGCTCAACATGGTCCTTCACAGTGTCCAGGTTCTGGGAGGTGCGGGATTGGAGCTCACCAAGGTAGGTGGCCACAGTGCTTGGGGTGAAGAAGAAAGAGACATTTAGGTTTCACTGTAACAAAGAGAGTCTGGTAAGTGTCTAGTAAGAAAGTAATTCATGTGTGAAAGCCTCCACCCCACTTACTTGCGAATTTCCTCTGTGTCCTTGTTCAGGCGCTTCTTCAGCTTGTGGGTGTAGGCATTGATGCGGCTGTGGACATCATCGGCATTCTGCTCCACCATGGTCTTGAGCTCACCCACATACTGAGTGCTGCGCTCCTTGGCATCCAGCATATCCTGCTGGAGTTTGTTGGCCAGAAGCTGCAGGTCCTGAGTGAGCTGGCCAGTGGAGCTCTCAGTGTAGGGGCTCAGCTTGGTCTGGATGTCATCTCTGTACGTTGCCAGCTCTGCCATGGTGTCAGTGATCAGTGTGCTAAAAGCAGAAGAACAGGGTCATGGTCAGATATGAGGACAAATTTGAATTGAAAGCATAGTGCAAGGATGAGAGGTTAGAAAGATGTAAGTACTGGAACTAGGGAAACTATGAGTGGACTAGTTTCTGAAGTTCACTTACTCTAGCTCCCTGCTGAGCTGTGAGGCCTTGATGTCCTGCACGACCCCATCGGCTTTTTGGTTCAGTTCAGAGATATACTGCCAGAAACGATCCACAGTGTCCTCCCAGCGGGCTGGGGTGGCATCAGCCTGACGCACAGCACGAGCATTGCAGCCTATTATGGGCACATGTGGAAAGCTTGGATAAATATAAAAACATTAAACCCAATAAAAAATGATGTTGGTAAATCCTAGACCAGCAGTGAACTTACCAGTGATGACTGCCAGAGCAAGGATCAGAGCTACAGCCTTCATTGTTGGTAGAGACAGATACCTGTCAAATTAAAGGGGGGAAAGAGTAAGCAATCCACAATATAATGCAAACATATCTAGCAAAATTTCACACGAGATTTTAGGTATTTTAGAGACTAGGAACGTTTTTAAGACGAAACTCATAAATGTGAATAGCCTACATAGGCTACAGTCACAGCCAATAACTGAGCATTCAAAGTAGATAAAATTGAATACAGATGGAATAAGCAGTAAGTAGTTTCTGTATGCTGGTATTAAATAAGGAGGCACGCCTGCGCGGTCCTTTCACTCACCTGGGGTTGAGCTTCCTCCGTGCTCCCCGAGCGGTGACTGAGGGCTTTTATACAGTCCCGGGAGAGTGCTGCTGCGCGTGTCGCGGGGGAGGAGAGGGAGTAATTGCTCGCGCGCCCGCGTTCACATGATGGTGATGGGGATATTTGTCTGAACGGATCCCTCCACGCAACGTGGGGACACCGCGTCCGAAGTTCTCGCAGGTTTGCATTGTGTGAGCGAGTGATTGCGCAATCTGCCTTTCACAAGAATAACATGCTGAACGTTTCACCTTCAGTGAAAAATATGTATATGTTTATTCTGTTTGCATATTGTTCCCACATTTGAGTTTTTGGGTGTATGCTTCTTTATTCTTATACTGAAATAGTAGGCTATATAATAGAAATAGTGGGAAATCAGATATTTTCTTTCAGTAAAAGTTGCCCTATTACAATGTAAACCATTCAATTACAAGTAAAAGCTGGTAGAGACGAAGATTTCTAGGTTACTGTTAATTAGACCTACTACCCAACATTATATAGGGCTTAACCCTATATACTAAATTATTTTCTATTATTTTTCTAAGTTGTTTTCATGTTTTATTTGTAAAACCTGCATCTGTGAACTCATAGCTATGGCTGGCAAATAAAGATAGTGGAGTATAAAGCACATGTTTCCCTCTGAAATGTAGTGAGTTATAAAGAAAGAGAAAGTATAAAGAAATATAAAGTTTGTACTTGAGTAATTGTACTTAATTACATTCTAGCACTGCTTGTATTCCACTACATTTCTCAGATGGCTGAGTTAGCAGTTTAGTTAGTTTAGTTAGTTAGCATGTACTTCTATGCCTATACAACAATATATTATGCAACATCTCGACAGTGTGTAATAATAATTGTAATTTAACAAGAGAAATTGGTGCTTTTGATACTTGGGTTTATTTTGCTGCTAATTTCGTGCTTTTACTGTACTTTAACTTTACTTTTTATGTGGTGGTATTGTTACATTTACTCAGGTAATCATTCTTCCACTGCTGATTATTGCAGGTTTGGTGTTAACTGGCCACAACTTTGCAGATTTTTCTCTGATCTTTATCATCAAGTGGTCGTATTTGAATATAAATCCTCATGGCGCCAGGATGTAAATTAGCCTTTCACACATTTGAATCTACATGGTCTGCCAGTGCTGACCCCCCACCCCCACCCCATTGACCCCTACAGCCACATAGCCTCCAACACATATGGCATTTTTGCTTGGCAATCCGGCTCTAATAATCCAAATGGTGAATATACCACGAGTGACTTTCTGTATGCACACCAAATTTCATTTTCTATTTCCTGTACTTGCTGCACTGTACTGCTGCACCCCATAGAACTATAAATTACCAGTACATGCCTGTTGTGTAAATAAGGTGTCAGCATTACAGGACGGGCATGCTCAGGCTTGGGGACACTCAGGTGCAGCAAGCCCACTGTACAAAAGAAGGATTACAGGTAATACAAAACAGAGAACATAGACTATTTTATTACATGTAAAAAAAGAAAGCATAGCAGAACAAAGCTGGAATAATATCTGGTTTTATTTTGAAGGTTTTCAGGACAGTTATTTCCAAGAAATTTACAGGATTTCGAAATTGGCATGGGAAAGGGGAAATTTTGATGCAGAAAGAAAACAGTATACAACAGCTTACTTATCACAAGCCCTGGTTCATATTTATGTTGGACCACCGCCCACATCACACACAGATACATACTTGCCCTCTCCATTCTGTTCCTATTATGATTTAGGTTTTAAAAGATCATTGCACTAGCAGTGAATCATACACATACTTCCCTATTATCAATAAAAGCTTCACCACTGAACCACAAATGATACCAATCCCAACAACTGGGAATTAAATCCCAAATCCTGAGTAAAAGCTATTTTTTAAGCATAATAAAAAAAACCTGTGAATTTAACTTAATAATGCACCCCACTACTTAAACTTTGGTGATTTAATTTCATCCTGTGTTGAAGTTTGTAGGCATCATGTTGTATAAAAGCTGGTGTTTTATTGCAAAACAGGGGCTCATCATGCTGTTACATGGAGACACCTCTCTGTAAATGTAGAGTATTTTACCAGCATTAGACAGACAACAGCTTAGGCCTCTTGTTAGTAGCCTACCTATATTGAAAGTAGGAACAATACTACCACAGTTGTTTTGAAATTTGGTAAGGTGGTAAGAGAGCTTACAACATGTTTATTTTAACACCCTCATTTTACAAGTCACATATAAATAATTAAGCCATACCCCACTAGCGATGACATGGGTGTTTGTTTTTGGTAGCATTAGTTACGATAAAACAAAACTCTGATTCCATCACTGACCATGTGTAATGACCTTTACCCTTTAGGACTTGGTCTCTTTGTTGTCAACTGAACAGATTTCTCTGTTCTGTCATTTGTCACAGAAACCAAACTTTACACAGGAACAAAGTTTAAATGGGTTGGTCTGATCAGGTGTGAGAACATGATAACATTGGCGTGTGATAAGCCAAAGAGGTCAACTGTGTGGTAAGTGATTGGAAGACTGTGTCTACCGCACATGGTCTTTTCTCTGTTAAGTTGGCAATTAATCAACAACGAAATGAAAGCAATATCTCAGTATCTTGGTGTCACTTTTCTGTTTAAACCAAAAGACCTTTCACCTCGGTATTATACGACAGTAGTGAGTAGTGTGTGTCACTGCTGGAGGTGTGTCGCAGAAGACTTTATGTTCAGCTAGATACGCTCCAGTTCAAACACACAAACAAATCAAGGACAATAATTTAATCCCATCATTCTGCATAGAACATTGTCACACAGTGATTTATTTGTGTTTACACATAAGGATGTTCTTTTTCCGTCTTTTTTCACATTTCTAGAAAAATGTTGATGGATTTCCATTATGGAGATTACAGGCTACATATTTTGTATTATGCAGAATTTATGGACCAGAGAGACCAAACTACACACACGTGTAACAACACAAGTCACAGGCCAGACCACTCAAACCCACAATGTTGTGCCTTCCTTTGCTGAGACACCAGCATAAAGGGACAAACGGAGAAGCGAAACAGAAAGAATTAAGAAGAACCGTGAGGTAATACAGTAAAATATCTGACACGGTCATCTAAATTACAGCTGCTTCTCCTTTTGTTTCTCAATAATAAAGGCAACGTCCAATTTTCATCAGGGGAGGGTGTGTGAGAGTGCATTTTTAGATGGTGTGAACAAAAGTAACCCCAGCCTGATGATGTTGTTCTCTGGAAGCTGGTTTGAAGAATTATGGTTTTCGGTTAGGTCTGGACGATCTCACCCCTCCAAACAGGCAAATGTTTCTTTAGACGAGTCAGCAAGGTTACTGCAGTTAACGCCTGTGGGTTAAAAGTCAACTGAGTTTTTTTTTCTTGCAATAATATACCATCATCTGGTTCTGAGTCAGAGTGCTATCAGCTGATGGTGACAAGTGCCGGCAGAGCCAAATGTCTAAGTAGAGTTTAAAGCACCGTCACTCTGTAATGAATGAGTCACAGGTTTGATGCATGCTGCATCTACTGTGTGTCCATCAACAAAAGTAACCTTAAGTCAGATCACTGCCTTCTGTCAGTCGCTGTGTGACTCTCAGGGTGAGATGCAAGCTGATTCTGTTGTTATCCTTTTGGGCTAAAGTACAAAAGCCTTATGGCTACTAAGGTTCACACTGTGCACAAACTTGGTTGGTTGGCAACATGTGTCTTTTTGGTAACACATCTTTTATTTGGCCAAGAATTATTTTAAATCAGTGTAAATGGCGTCTCATTAAAGGATTAGCTTGACATTTTAGGAACAATGCAGATTCACTTTCTTGCCAAGAGTTAGATAGTAAGTCCAAGGAAAATTAAAATCAAATGCAAATGGACTTGGTTAAAAATATTCGAAAACGTTTCGTCTCTCATCCAGGAGACTTCTTAGATAGTAAGATACCAATACCAATCTCATGCCTGAATGTTAAAATGAAGCTGCAGCCAGGAGTCAATTAGCTTAGCACAAACACTGAAAGCAGGGGCAAAACACTAGCCTGGCTCTGTCTAAAATTAAAAATTACGTGTTGAAATTTTCCTTTAATGTATTTCCCTTGCAGGTGAAAAAATGAGATGAAACTTCACTGAATCAGATGCAGTCTTAGGTTGATTATGACAGTTTGTAACATCAAAACATGTAAAAGCCCTTTAAAAGTCACGATCTTGCCAATTTTGCCACTCTGCTCCAACAATTAAAGACATGAATTTCTTACTTTGAGATGCACACTGCGAGGTGCAGTCCAGTGTGAGCTTTGATCCAAGTCCATCAACATGAAACACATTCTTTACCATGCATTATTCACTAAACATTTTCATCTGTCTTGTCTTCACAAGTAGTTATACATAATTTACAGTAAATACATGTAAATCAGTGTAGCTCATAGTTTGTTTTCGGTCCATTATCTCTTGTCTAAACAGTGTAAAATATTAAGTAAAAATAATATTTTGTTTTTGCTTTTCAGGATCTATGAAGATAAGGTAACTTTTTATACATTGTTATTAATTTACTTTGATAAATAGCCTATAACTGTGTTCATAACCCATCAACCATGTTTTCTAAATGTAGGTACAAAAGCGCAAACTCTAATCATTAAAAAATTGTGATAGAGTAGAACAAGAAAAGTAAAAGAAAAGGGGAGAAGATGGGTCTTTAATCCAGCGAAACGCAGTAAGCATTCATATAAATAAATTGGAAACGGTATTACAACTACTTCATTTAAAACATGGAGATTAAAAATATAACCAAAAACCTTCACATGATCAGACATAATAAGAAATCAGAGCTGTGTGTGCATGGAGGGTTAATGGTAAGCATAGTCTGTGACAGCTGGGGGCAGAACAGAGGAATGTTGTTTGCCACTGGGTAAGGTAGCGTGGGAGCGATCTGGCATCAGGCATGGAGGCACAAGGGAAAACTAAAAAACAAGGTGGAAACGGGATGCGCTTCCAGACCTGCAGAGACAAACCTGAACATGCCCTATCCAAGACCCACAACTGAATCGTACGGGGGCGTGGAGGAGATGGGGTGGGATTTTGCAACCAGAAACAGAACAAACAACAACTGCTTTATTCTCCACTTTTTTGTGTGCCACTAATATAAAAAGTTTCTTGCTTTCTCATAACTCTCATAACTTTAACGCATGCATTGAAAATGGCTTGTCAGTATGGTGGTACATGAATAATTACGATGAAGTGACTTCATATGTTCACCAGGTGGCACTAATTCTTTTCAAAGATTCTTGTTGCATCCATTCAAGTCCAAAAAGAAAACCAGTGCTTTTATGTTTTTATTTATGGGACATTTGTGAAGTGCTTATGATTTATAAAATTATGATTTATTGAACAGCTAATTTAAATGATTAAACCATTTAATTATGTAGGCGTGAGTAACCACGCTAAAGACTATTACCACATTTAGGTAATGATGTGTGTAATTATTGTTTTCACTTTTATTTATTTATTTATTTAGTTTTCATTTAATTAAAAAAATAAACAATATACTGTAATCTCTAAGTGTGCAAGAAAAACATTTGGCATCCTCAAACCTTACCAGCACTCAAAAGAAAAACAGACTCCCAAGTTTATGTTTTGCTTTTACTTTATTGCCATAATATAGAAAAAGAACACAGTGCGTGGTCACAGACCAACACTTAATAATTTTTTTTTTTTAATACTTTAAATATACTGTATCTAAAGACATCCTCAGCTTTCAAAACTGGTGAGCTTGTGTTGTCATACTGTTATTAACATGAACTTGTTGATGAGAGAGGTTAGCATGAGGTGGAGGTTGGCTTATTTGGCTTTGACAAAGGACTCGAAGAGCGAGGTGAGACGAGTCTGGAGGTCCTGGGCGTAGGGGTCCAGCTTTTCCCTCAGCTCATCAACGTAGGGGGTGGCCAGTTCTTTCACCTGCTGGGCTCTCTGGGACAGCTCACTCTGAACCTTCTCAGTCACAGGCACCATACGCTCCTTGAAGTCCTGCAGGTGCTGGTCCACCTTCTGCTTCAGGTCATCAGTGTAGGGCCCCAGCTGAGCCTGCAGATCCATCACACTCTGATCCAGGTTGGTCTTCAGCTCCTCGCTCTTCTGCAGCAGGGTGGTCCTCAGGGCCTCAGCGTCCAGGGTGTCTGCGTAGGTGGCCAGCTCCTGTTTGAGCTGTTCCACTCTCTGCTGGATCTGGGCCTTCATGTCCTCGGTGTAGGGCTCCAGTTTGTCCTTGACAGTGCTGAGATCCTGGTTCAAACGCTCTCTCAGCACGTCAGCCTCTGTGGTGACTTTGGTGATCAGGTCCTGGGCTGCAAGGGGAAGCTGCTCCTGGAGGGTGACTGCATACTTGCTGGCCACGTCTGCGCTCTCAGTCAGACGAGCACTACACAAGAGAGTGAACAATGAAATAAAGTTTTGTCTTTATTTCATATTCTAGTTAGGAGGAATTGCATGTCAGTTACCACTATCGATTTTTTCCTCCACATTATTTGTGTGTCACTAGTGGTCACAATGGTATTGTCTGACCCACCTGACGTCCTGTCCAAACTGAGATTTCCTGATCATCTGAACCGTCTCATCAGCTGTCTGGGTGGCTTTGGAAACATAGTCCCAGAATGCATCAGTCAGCACTTCCAGCTGTGGCTTGGGTGCATCAGCGTAGAAGAGATTGGCATGACAGCCTGTTGAATAGACACAGGAACAATTTTCAGCCATGCATGACAGTCTGATTTGAGATATTAAGACATTTATACTAGTGCAAATTTACCCCCTAGCAAGGCTTGCTATACTTTATCTTGAGCATACCAGTATACTTTTTCATGCTCCAAAAATGATGAAAGGATTTTTTGCCATCAAACTCACCGCTGAAAACAGCTAGGACGAGCACAACAATGACCTTCATGGCTGTTCGACCTTAAAACAAGGAGATACAAGCTGTTTAGCACAGCATATTCGCCAAGAAGTATTTTTTTGATATGGAAAGCTCAGCTGCTAGACTGAGCCAGCCCTTTGTCCTCTTACCTGAGTTTGCAAGTGTATCTGCAAGTCCACTTGGCAGCGCTTGTGTTCAGCTGGTGAGGTTCTGCAGCTTAAATAGCAAACCAGAAAATTATGATCCCAAAGTCCAGGTGCTAGTGCCTTGCTGTCACCTTGCCTCACCCTGTTATCATCACTGACGTTGTGTGCCAGAGAATCCATGCAGCACACACGTACAAGGCAATACTGTTACACCAATGCACAAACCCGCTGAGTTCATGACCCATTTCTTTTCATATATATCCATATATCAATTTAATTATAAGGTGAGTAATAATTTACCAGATACTAATTACAGTTTGCATTCATTGATGGCCTTGCTAGATATTATTACATAAATGCATAAATGTATATATGATTCATCTGTGTTAGAGAGTGACAAAAAGTTTTAACCGTAAATGAACTCTGTCCTCACAAGCCTTTCTGTAATCACTGAGCCCCAGATAACTCTCTGCCAAAACAGACAAAACCTCTTAATTTCATTGATGTCCAGCTTTGATTAGATATACAGTGGGTGTTTAATTGTCTCTATTAGCTTGAATTTTTTCAAGCTCACATCACACCAACTCATGGTCTAAGAGTCATGCCAATGTTCAACGACTGTGTGTCACTCTGGACAAGGGTTAGCAGCACTGTCAGCTTCTGTAGGACAAAGCAGCTGCTGTTTCACATCGGAGTTACCATAGTTCACTTTTAAAGAGTAGCATTTCAGTTTCATTTATTTTTCTGCCAGTTGTGATAACCTTTTCCTCTTACAGAAGGAAAGTATGTACACAGACTTGAAACTAGAACATTGTATTGAAAAGATTTAGACTATTTTGCCCTGAGAGTCCTTGAAGACATCTAAGTGCATGGAAGAACAATTTGATATGTTCTTATGTCCTTCTTCTTTTGGTATTAAAAAATTGCATTATCAGAAATAGTTTGGCAAATTTATGCCAACCTACTTACAGTTTGAACATTAAAGCAGTTTTCAGAAGACCACTATTTGATTTAATGCTGACATGAAACACCTAAAAAGTGCTGAATATTGACATTACCATGACTTAAAATATTTTGGCTACTCTGTTGACCTCACTATTCACTCAGTAAAGGTTTAAGACAGAGCCTGGCCTTTGCTTATGTTTCTAGAAGCAAACAGTATTGGGCAACAAATTAAATTATAGCGATTATAAATCAGAAAGAAAAGATGGGTTACCATAAACAATAGTCAGACCAAAGGTGTTGACAAGGAATCTGCTACACATGGAGTCCAGAAGAGTAAAAGGAAATAAAATATATGACAGCTACTCAATAATAAATTATTGATAACATTGTATTATGCTGGGTTCATGTCATATTGTTTAAACTGTTATTACAAGCAGACTCCAACTTGACAGTGACAATATCTCCCACCTGGTGAAGTGTCAACAGCCCATTGGCAAAATGGCAGCAAAGCCACCATCATTGGCAGTTACATTTAAATAATATCCAACATTGACACTAACACAATTTTCTCCTCTAATTTAAAAGGAGCAAAACAAAGTTTGTCTGGTTCCACTTGTTAACGGTCCAAATATGTAAATGTAGCAAATTTAGACTATTTCAAATGATATGACTAAAAGGCTAGCAGTGGGGGAAAACAACGGAATAATGTGACGACACTCCCAAGTCCGTAAAATGAGAGATTTTCTTCCTATTCTGCCAAGATTGTGTGAATTCAGCATTAGCAACAAATTAGCCTCAACAAGAATCGTTGTGGAAGTGTGGTTTTAGCAGCAAACTGAAAAAACAGATAATAAATTACAAAGCATCAATAACAAAATCTCACAAAGCTACAATAAAAAAGAGTGCCTTATATATATGAGATGCAAATTAAATATGTTTGTCAATATTTGCTTGGTTACAGATCAGAGCATGAGTTCCAGTATGAATATTATCGTCTGAAACAAATCATACCTGCTGGATACTGAGCCCTTTTCAATAAAAAAAACAATCATGTTGCTTGACTCTAATACAAAGTCCACAAGTGTTAGAATACCAAGGTTATCTGGAGTTATCAACAGGCTGTTAGCACTACACTATGTGGACAGTTAATTACTATATCTTAAATACCTTTTAGGGATATATCAGAGGAGAACTGCTGCCATATTTAGTTTGAAGTAAGATATGTTTTATTGTTAGGACATTCCTATAAGCCCCATAACCTTAGTATACTGTAAAGATTGTCTGCATTATAACCCAAACTGTCATGTGAGAGTAGCCAATAGAATCAGCAGAAACAGGAAGAGAACCATTATGACAACATGGCAGGGACTCCTGGACTTTGGGCTTATGACTACAACTGTCCCCTGGCTTCAGTATATATACATGGAAGCACCAGTCTGACACACTTACACATACGCCAAACACTCAGCGATACACAAGCCAAAAGCAGGTGAGAATTACACTGCATTTCATAAACAAAACATTAGGAGCTAAATATAAATGTTCTGACATTAAAAACGCAGCTTGAAAGTAAACTAGATCATAATTGTTTTTCAGCTTGACGCAGTCATGAAGGTGTTCGTGGTACTAGCCGTTGCAGTGCTGTCTGGTAAGTTGCAAGCTTTTTGTTTTTCACTTGTGTTATTTCTATATAGCTTAGTAGAGGCTACAACATGCAAAAATGTTTCAGAAACTAAGAGCAATCAAAATGAACTGGTTGTCTGAAAATCTGCACTGTTCTCAAGCTGTTTTTGTGTGCATCCAACAGGCTGTCATGCCAATCTCTTTTATGCTGATGCACCCAAGCCACAGCTGGAAGTGCTGACTGATGCTTTCTGGGACTACATTGCCAAAGCCACCCAGACAGCTGACGACACCCTCCAGATGATCAGGAAATCACAGTTTGGACAGGATGTAAAGTAAGTTGTGTGACACACAGGACCTTGGTAACTTGGTCAATATTAGGGGCATGTGTCACATGGTGATGGTATTCATACACACAACTCTGATGGTCTAATCATTACTTTGTCTGTCTTCTAGTGCCCGTCTAACAGAGAGTGCCGACTTGGCCAGCAAGTATGCAGTCACCCTCCAGGAGCAGCTTCCCCCTGCAGCCCAGGACCTGATCACCAAAGTCACCACAGAGGCTGACGTGCTGAGAGAGCGTGTGACCCAGGAGCTCAGCACTGTCAGGGACAAACTGGAGCCCTACACCGAGGACATGAAGGCCCAGATCCAGCAGAGAGTGGAGCAGCTCAAACAGGAGCTGGCCCCCTACGCAGACACCCTGGACTCTGAGGCCCTGAGGACCACCCTGCTGCAGAAGAGCGAGGAGCTGAAGACCAACCTGGAGCAGAGTGTGAAGGATCTGCAGGCTCAGCTGGGGCCCTACACTGATGACCTGAAGCAGAAGGTGGACCAGCACCTGCAGGACTTCCAGAATAGCGTGGCCCCCATGACCGACAAAGTCCAGGTTGAGCTAAGTCAGAGAGCCAATCTGGTGAAATCAATGGTGGCCCCCTACGCTGAGGACCTGAGGGAAAAGCTGGACCCCTACGCCCAGGACCTCCAGGCCCAGCTCATGTCCCTGTACCAATCTTTTGTCAGCGCCATCTAAGTCAACATCCACACCTGCACCATCAGTCAATATGTCAACCCTGTTTGGTCTACCTCTGTTTGAAGCGTGAAATATAATAATTTAAACATCTGAATTGTACTGTAAACCAAACTGGGTGTATACCCACAACATTATATTTATTGCAAGGTGCAAATATTGCAAAGCAAACCACTGCACTTGTCAAACATGTATATACTTTTATTGTGTGTTGTGAAGTTGGAAACTGTAGCTTTTTTGTAATTTCTGTAAGTTATCAAAATAAATATATGAATCTGAAAAATATGAATTTGACCAATGGTTGTATTCTTTGAAGCATAAATCTACAAGAAATCTAATCACAAGAAATAATTTCACAAGAAACATCTATTTCTACAGCATAGCCTATTTTACAGCATACAAAATATTCACATGCCATCTTGAAGGTACACAGCAATGACAAAGTGCTTACTACATAAACATATAAACATACAAAGGGACCACTATGGTCATGGACGTGCTGCTTTTATCCCAGAAGGGCAACAAGTATTTTCGCTTCATCTCCCGTGTCTTAACATGTCCTGGCTCCTGTCACAGTTTTGTTTCCTACTTTTTCCAGAAGCAAACTGTTGTTCTTATTCTTGTACTTGTCGACGCTTGCCGTGAAACGGCACCTTCCTGGTTTCTACACTAAATGGCTGTGAGAAATGTGCATGACCAATGTGATGCCTAGACAAGTCATTTATAGATTTATTTATTGATTCTATTTAAAATGACTTATTTGTTTTGAAGAAATTCTTTCTGTCATAATAAACTAAGATTTTGCAACCACTAATTGTTGTAAATATACAACACAAAACCTCAACCTCCCCCTGTTGACAGTGCCAGCATCCAACGTGGAGGGTTAGAGTCCAAAGACAATACTGCACACACACTCCCATGCACACACACACACACAATGCATATTTGTTTCCTGGTTTCATCAAAACAGACACTGCTAAAACTGATATGAAAAATATGTATATGGGTCATTCTTGAGATATGTCTCAAATAAAGCTCTTTTTTGAGAAGACCAATGTATTAACAGAGAAAAGATAATAACCTTTGTTATTGACTGATTCTTCATAAAGTTGTAGTGAGTAACCCACTAGCTGAGATGCAACGGCATAAGTTATTTTATAGATATCAGCAGTTCATTCAAATGTATCTGGGATTCATACACTTGAAGGACATAGCCTGGGTTTGTACTTTTTATCTTAATTGTAATACCCTAAAAGTCAATCTGCCCTTTACATATGCACAGCAGTTTGAAGTGCTATGTTCAGGGAGACACAAACTAGTCAAACTGCTGCAAAGCTCCATGAGACTCTACAGATGCAAATCTGATCTCACACTTTCAGGCCCCAGCCTGTTTTATACCTGATTAGCACTTGTGTGGGCACCCAGAAGAACTATTCATACTGCATTATGAGTCAAAACAGCCAAAAGGCATCGTTAAGGCCTTGATCCCATTGTCCACTTTTCTAATACTGGAGG